GAAATGATCCTATTCCTTCCCCTGCCCTCCAACATAACCTCTACTACCTGCAGAGTCAGCACCAAAGCAACACCCTTTAAGGTTTCAGCCTTATCGGTTTAAATTGAAGTAAATTCAGTTATTTAGAGACCAATTCTTCAGACAGACCGATTTGAAGTTGTTGGAAGGGAAAAAAGAAAGGAGATATAGTTGCTCCTTGACCATTTAAGTTCCTTCTCCTTCAGCCATAGGGCCTAAAAAATAAAAAAATCTATTACTGTACCAAAGAAGTTACATACAAATAAAAGTGGATGTTTCACTGCAGTGTTCCATGATACAAGCATAAAGTATAATCATTTTGAAAGGAAAACTCCTTTCTAGAACTTCTCCAATTAGATTGCCCTTTCTCGCATCTCTACCGTATTAAACTTACTTATTTCTCCTCCAGTGGAGCACGTCTCTCTATTTCTGCACTGTCATTCTCAAGGCAGACACCTGGACCACTGCAGAAGGAGATTTTAATCTCCAGTAGCGCAAACTGACTGCCTCGCTTCCCCAGGATGACAAGTGTCTCTCTACTCTTTTTCTCCTCCAGATTGTTAACAGACTCTAGTACGCAGATTATTCAATCACCAGCAGCAAAGAAAATGTCAAAGCTGCCAGAAAAGCCCAAGACAAAACACTGGAAACAGAGAACAACTCTTCTAAGGCTGAGATAAGAAACTGTAAACGCTACGCATATTTCAAGCAAATTTACTTTTACTCTCTTCAACATGGGCAAATAACTAGTTAAATTCAAATCCAGGTCCGAACATCATGAGACAAGAACCCTGGGAAGGCAGAAACAATTTCAGCTACGGGTCAGAAATACAAATACCAGCCTCTGACTGAGAGAAGAAAGGTTATTAACTGAATACCAATAGACACTGACTGCACGCACTTATTTCGCTTATTTGAAAAACAAGTGAAAAGCAGATGAGCTTGTAACATGAATGTGAATCTGAGAAGGAAAAAAAAAAAAGCAGTTAGCTTCCAAGTAATTTCATACTTTTTCCTCCTTATAGACATTCCCAGACTATTTCAACATATATGAAACCTAACCATGGAAAACAGGATCTGCAGAGCTTGAGAAGAAATAAATTATTTGGGAGGAGGGGTGGGAAAGGAAGAGGAAAAAAAATCCTTACCAACTGACTGGCCTTACTGTGCACTTTTCCAGGAGACCAAGAATTGCTTCTGATGCAGCAGCATTCAGCCCTGGAGAAGTCAGACAGAGCGAAAAGGGAGGGGAGGTACGAGGAAGGAAGGGAGGGGAGAGGAGAAGGGAATGCAGCAGCATTCAGCCCTGGAGAAGTCAGACAGAGCGAAAAGGGAGGGGAGGTACGAGGAGAGAAGGGAGGGGAGAGGAGGAGAAGGGAGGGGAGAGGAGGAGAAGGGAGGGGAGAGCATGTACACTGCATGTCGGTTTGTTGAGCCCTAACATTGCTTTCAGGAAAGAGAAGAACGAAGCAACTGCTAAATCAGGCTGGGAATTGGTTTGCGATGGTTCAAAACAATAAGGGAACGAGATCTTAGTATGACCATTTAGGTTCAAAACAGAGAGTCAGGAGGAAGAAATGTGTCCCCCCACGTGTGGCTATTTAGAGAACCTGGAATGCCAAACGTGCTTTCTGCTCCAAAAGAGAGATTACACTAAAACTTACAGTCAAGCAGCGTAAATGTAAGAGCTGCAGCCAAACCTGTCGCTGTAATTAGTGAGAGACTGTCCAGAAGAAAGCAAGATTTCTTTGCTTTCCTACAGTCCTCCAAACTCAACTTGCATCTACCTGCAAATCTAAGGGATTGTAAACTAGATGGAGTAGTCATTTCATCTCTTCATTCACGATTATGTTGCCAACTGCATCCAAACACAACGTGCACTACACTGCAGACATTCCTACTTGTAAGACTTTCACCCTAAAGCAGTAAAACAGACCAAGGGGAAGGGGAACAGCATACACAACGGCCAGAATCACAGTATCAAAATATTGTATGCACTTGAACATAAAAATATGCCAGCCACTCCCTCACCAACCAACCAACCGTTACATCCCAGTCCCACCCTACCATGAAAAGTTAGCTGAATTACAATTTTAGTGCCTGAAGGAGAATGGGAGGGGAACACTCATTGTTTCAACACACCATCTCATCACCCTATCTCTGCAGGACTGGGATGAAAAATCAAAAAGCGACTTCTCATCTCAGAGGCTCTACCTCTAGTATCCCAAATTTCCCATTCCTCACAAGCCAAGCCGATTTCTTGAAATCTACTGCATAGCTATCCAATTTATCAACCTTTATTCCCTTGAGCTAGCAATTTCTCTTCTAGTTAACTGTTGTCTATCATCCTCAATCAGATGCTTTCCTGGACCTACAAGCCTCCCGAGCCCACAAAACAACTTGAAGTCTTGCACACATGCAGAACCTCGGTAGCTTTTCCAGCCGCATCGTGGCTGCACAGCATGACACAGCAAGTGGTCCCACTGGATGACACAGCTCCGTAAAATTCTGACTCTGCAGATCCGCAGTGAGGCATAGGAAGGGCTCAGCTGACCCCTTACCTTCGACTGGCTACTTCCCTCCTGGCAAAGGTTGACTTCAATCCAAAAATGGAGGAAGACCCCAAATTATGTGGTGCCAAGGGAAGAGACAGCACCAGAGACACTACAGAATTTTTCAGGTCTGCCCCTGAAAAGCTGACTCCTGTGAAGCTCTCCTCTGCTCCTGATCCATGAAAAAACAGACAGGCTATTCTGGTATCTTCTCAGTTTTAAGTAAGCTCTTAGCAGCTGTAGGAAAGACCGATCTTCACACCGCTCCCGAATAACACAAAAATTGAACCTCTTACTGTCACAGCAACATAATTCACTGGAGAATCCCAGGTTTACACATTGTCCTTATGGCTCTAGCAAAGTATTACTGACAACTTGGTCGGGCACACAGAGCCTCTGTGGCAGATGCTTATCTTAAAAAATGCAAAACACTTGCGAGATAGCTCACAGCCCGCCAGGCAGCTCTTTTCCGGCCCTTCTCAGAAACACAAACTCTCCCAAGCCTTACCCCACACCCCACTCCCAGCACTGCCATCCCCAGAACACCATCCCACAGACTTGGAACAAACCAAGAAGCATGCCACTCAGTAAAAATGAACATTTTCCTTACAGGGGGAAAAAAAGCCCCAAAACAGTAAAACCATATATTCCCTTCCTCCACATAAAGCCACAAGCCCAATGGGTCCCCAACCCCATCCCCAGAGCAACTCACAAAGAGTTAGTGCAGCTACATTAATTCGGCTGGAAAGGATTTTCATCACCTTGTCTCTTTCCTCGCCTCTTCTGCTGTTTCAAAAATAGCTCTGGCTTGTTTGCTGTACCGCTTATGTCAGTCTGATTTTATGCCTGACTGGATGTATACAGACAAGCTCGTAGCCCATTAAACACCGACTACCCAGACCTGTACATACATGCACAGTCACACAAACACAAAGCACAGCCCTCTCCCTTGGAGGCCATGCTGGAAAGCTGCTTGTTTTCAGAGGCTTTGCACTGTATTAAGTATGTTTATCGCAGGCCTCAAATAGGGGCTAGAGAACAGACTGCAGCCTTTTCTGAGGTTAAAAAAAAAAAAGCAGAAGAGCAAAATACCACTAACATCCATCTGTCTTAAAGCTGCAAGGACGGACCTTCCCTGTGATGAAAATACTTTGAAATGTGAGTGCATTTATCAAATGACCTAAGGTCATTTGGCAGCATGATGTCAGTGTTTCTGTCCATTAAAGACAAACAATCCCACCTGAAGGCTTTGAAAACTATTATCCACAATTGCTGGGAAGGGAAAAGATATAGGAAGGTGCAGAAGTACAGAAATTCTGGAACAAACTACTCAAAAAAAAAAACTTCAGGTAAAGTCCTGAAATATGAGAAGCTGTCTGAATGAGATTTTTCCTACTAGCACTTTTTAATCATTGGGTTTTCCTGAACAGCTTTTCTTTTTAGACTAAATCAACTTGCTGGAGCCATTTCACTAATCCCAGATTAATTCCATTCAAATCTGGCATCCTTCCCAAACCCAGTAATCTGAAGCTCAGCCTCCTTTAGCACAGTTCTACCTTCAAGACCCAGCTCATGGGCTGTGAGCTGCCTCCGTGATGTATTTTTAAATGAAACTTTCTCAGCGTGCCATGACTCAGGAACATTGGTTACCGTGAATTGAAGATTTCCACAAGGAAATGCAGCTCAAAGAAATCTTGATTGCTCATTCAATTCATGTTCCTATATAGCTATAAAATCCAATATGCATTAGCTATTTTACCACTTATTATAAAAATAAATTCGTAGCTACTGACATTTCTGTATGAAGTGTTCCCCAATTACTTACTGCTAAAAAGCCCTCTGAAATTTAAGAGGAAAAAAAACCATATTACCATTTCCAGCAGTCACCAGAGTATGAAGATAATACTAAAAAGATGAGCCTCTCAGGCACAGTATCTCGTTATAGGTGTTTGCTTCTAAATGCAATTCTGTATGTATATTAACAGGAAAGAACATACAAACAAAAGCTCACCATATAGCAACATATTAGCATCTTAACACACAGTGTATGAAAACTAGTTGTTATTTAACATCTGAGGACCTCTTTGATTTCAATGGCAATTCAGCAAACCAGACATGCAAAGAACTGGAACAGACTGCCCGGGGAAATTGTGGAGTCCAATCACATTGGTCTTTAATGTCAACATCAGAAATGAATGGGTAAAAGTCAGTTCTGCCTTGGGGCAGAGAAGTGAAATAGATGACTGCCCAAGATCCCTTTCCAACTATATGGTCCTGACGTCCTGCCTTTTTTTTGCTTTTTCTGGGGCATTCCTTCTCTCATCTGCTTACTTCTAGCAATGCCTCTTAGCTTTCGCTCCTATTAAGACTAGTATCACACTTAGAAATAAGCTTTGAACAAAGTATGAAAATTAAACATTGTCTTCTTACCCATCCTCCTTGTTGAATGATATAGTCTGCAGAATAGTCTTCTAGATATGTCACCCCGAAGTTCACAAGTGCGCTCAGTGGTTCCTGGCCCTGTCTGGTTAACTCCATCAGAAATTGTTGTAGCAGAACCAGGGGTACCAAGACCTTCAAAAAACAAGAATTGTGAATAAATACAGAAAGCATTATCAACTACTGTGTAGGTAAAACAGAAGAATTCATGTGGTCCACAGAAAAGGTCTGAATCTACAAGTCCAAAGATATCAGGGACTATACACTTCATTTTCGTGAAGACATAAGGCAGAAAGACAATACAATTCAGTAAGAAAGAAGCACTTAATCTGATAAGCAAAACACCACAGCCTAGCCTAACTTTAGAGTTTCACAGAACAGGACTGCAGTGCTTTCTTAAGCTCCATTTTTTTCCAACACAAGGTTCAGGTAAAGAAGCGGAACAGGTCCAGAACTTGCTACTTCAGAAGTGGAAAGATGCAACATTATAAATAGTTTGAAGGGATATGCATCCAAATTGTATTTAAACAGCAAACTCATATACATTCTTGAATAGATACACTGCACTAGACAGTCTCTTCAGAAGTTCACACTTGCCTTTCAGACAGGACAGAAACAAACAACTCCTCCCAGCAGCATAACATTACACACATGTTTAAAATGACAAACACAAACTCCTCTCCATGTTAAACTCTCCCTCCTATGCCAAATTTAACACATACGGAAGTCTCTCCCTCATTTCCTACTCCCATTCCTCCTTCCAAACCTTTTGTCTTTCACTGAATGCTCAGCCTTAACCCAAATGTGATTTGCTTTGGAAGATGCAAGACTCTGTGAACCCACCTCCTTCATATTATACAGTTCTAGACACTTCCTTCTGAAACTATGTTTTTGTTTGCCTGAACAACTTGCAGTTGAACTTTTAAACTCTAAATTTATTCTCCTAGAGGACACAAGCGGCCCTCCAGGCAAAGCTTATATGCAGCACTTTTCCAAGTTCAGGAAACTGGTATGAATTGCAGTCATTAGCATCTGAAAAAGTGCTATTATGATACAAAAGAAAAATATTTGTAAGTTTTACTGCACCTAGTTTGCGACAACTGCATTGCACATCTATTCACTGTGCAAATAAGAACATTGTTTCCCAGCTGCACAAGGTAGATGCAGGCTAATACTACTGCTCAGACTGAACTCCAGATGCCTCCTTCCTTTCCCAGTCTCCTCCTCCTTCCTATTTTCTGTAAATATCCTCCATTACTATTCCCAGAAATCACACCTTAGGATGCAAAACTAGAGGAAGACAAATAGGAAAAGTAGGCTGGGTTTGAGATTTGTACTAAATCCATGGTGGATTCACACTGAGATGGACCACTAAAAACAGACGGGGCCTTAAAAATGCCTGTAATCTGATAAATTTAAGTTGTTCCAGCTGATTAACAACTGAGAGATCCAATACTATGGCTGACAGGTTATAGTACTTTTCTTCTGGGATGAACAGTTAACACTGCAGTCACTTAACTAGGAACGAGACGGTGCTTGAATTTTAAAAGCCTTGGGGTTTCTTGAGTTTCTTGTCATTAATCTCAACTCGGAGGCAGAAGAGGTGCAAGCTTACAGTGCATAAACATAAGGAGCAGGTCAAGATAAGGTAAGTGTCAGAAGAAACTTCAATCTTTTTGGATCAAAGAAAAAAAAGCATGCTGTCAAGACTGGGCATCTTTCAGAGGCTTTGGGCACACCCACATAACTCTACAACAGCATCAACACTGAGATTCAAAATATTTGACATTTACTTTAAGCTGAAGGCAAGAGAAACAAAGGCAAAAAAAGGCTGCCTAGGAAATGAAGGTGCTCAAATGTTGGCACACTGAACATGATTGTTGCCATCTTCCTTAGCCAGCTTAAATATTTAATCCATCCACTCCTCCCAAATTTAGCAAGCCTTTGCAGGCCTTTGACCAAAGTCAAACTCTCATATCCAGCCCCATGCAGACCAACAAACACTGCCTCATTTTCCTTTCCCACTGAAATTATTGACACTTCTACCTTTGAGACCAGTAGGAACAGCAACAGGTTTGCATGATGCTGTCCCTAAATTAATGAAAGAAATTACCTTCACAGTACTTCCATAAAAGTTAACAACAGCTTTCTGTACATAAGAGTAGCTATGTGAATGGTGATGAGATTTAACTAGACCAAAGTAAAAATATAGCCTTAGCAATTCAAAGCAACTGCAATTCCTTCCACCAGTATGCCTGGGAAGGAATGCTAGGGGCTATTTACATTTTGACTTAAGAAAAACATACACAGTATCAAGCACAGCATGCCACAAAACAGTTGGCAGGAGAAAACTTCTAGGGACTCATTAAAAAAAAAAAACTTTACTATCAGAAGATTTCTGATTAGTTGTGTAAATGAAAGATTTCTGTCAATTATACTATTGCAATCCCATAGTACAATATTACAAACTTAACTGTATGCAAAAA